TTTTTTTTTCGTCGAGTATTTCCCCATGTGTCAGCAAATGACTCACGTGCTTTTTTCCCAAAAAATGATGTAAAAAGGAAAAAAACAAGCTTAAACAATATTAAAATGAGGTATGGTTTTATTTATGAGCGGTGATCCATTGACCAATTTTTGTTAAATGCCATTCATTGAAATAAACTGATGATGGATATACGTAGAGAAGAAATGTGATGATTTGAGGAATAAATGAGATGACATAAAATGTAATCATAGGATAACGCATTGGATTATTCTCTAAATTTTGACAACTAAGTGAAAATGAAAGAATAAAGAGTGGTAATGAGAAAAAGGAAAAAATCGAAGGAATGAGTGCGATTGTAGGTCGACTGATAATCTGTTTGTTGTCAGTTAAAACATGACGAAATAAATTAGAACGATCACGAACGTCTTTTGCTTTGTTATTTTCTAAACAGACAAAAAAAATTAATTTTTATTACTCTCTTATAGTTACTTGTAAGTTTCTCGAGTTGCACACTGCATTGTTGTTCTACCAAGTTCGATAAATTTTCTACCGATTCAGTAGCTAAAATATCAAATAAAAGTACTATAAGTATACATAACAATAGCTTACATTCGTTTTGTTTATGAACATTCATCTTACTATTGATAATATTATAAATCATGGTGATCGTACAACAAAGATTAATAAGAAGTGGTAAAATCGAATGTATTATCGATACGACCTGATGAATGATTATCCATGTAGATTGATGTACAGTTGAAAAATCAATTACACACATGCTACTATTGTGGTCGTTGTCGAAAACAAATAACTTGACGAAAACGAGTTCATATGCGCCAGAAAGAAAAACAATAAAAAATATCAATGTTATTATACGACGGGCAACATATGGCTTTTTTAACCATTGTCTGTTCACAAATACTGTTGTATAAACTCGTTCGATTGCCACAAATGATATTAACCAATAGGCAACACGAGTAAAACATGTCAATAAATAAGTTAATATTTTGCAGAGAATATTGTCAACAGTTGGATGAGAATGTAAACCCGTGACAGTAACACTAATATGAATAAGACGAGCAAGAAGAAGATTACAACTAATTTGATTGATAATACTCATATAGAATAAATAGTGTCCTACGCCATTGAGTAAACATTTTTGACGACGAAAAGTAACAAAGGAAAAGATGTTGTTTAGTAGAGCGATAAGGACAAGAAGCATAGAACTAATGATTAATGAGTAGACAACGATCATTTTCTTGTTTGAAATGAGATCACTATAAAAGAGTTGATCAAGAGTGAATACGAATAAATTTGAATTTAATTGACAATAGATCCCTGATCGACATTGTGGACATAAACAAATAAAAGTGGTGGATTGAAGAAATTGATCTTTTTCTTTTCAACAACGACTACCAGGTTGACATCGTGAACATTGATCCAATGTATAATCATAACGAAAACATTCGATTCGAGTATGATTTGCACCACAAACACATAGATAAAAATTGTCGCGAAAACAAAATAAATTTGAATCATTCCGACATAAATAATGATATTTAATTGGAGAATAGTTTGAAAGAAATTGCGTATCGTATGTACGGAGTTCAACACATTGAATTTTCTCACTCACTTGAGTAATTGCATCAATTGATATAGCATTGATATGAAGAGAAATCAAATAGATTTGAACAGGATCATCAGCAGGAGAAGAATAAAGTTTAACTAATGTTATTTGTGGTGATATTTTTTGATCATGTCGATATACTTTTTGATAAACAAGAATGAGATTAAGTGAAATAAGATCAATATCAAAATATTGAACAACAGCTGCTACATGATTAACACTTTCATTGATATACAAATTCATATGTGGTCTTCTGAGTTCACAGTTTCTTCCATGATATTCTGGAGTACATGAACATGTAATAGTATCTGGTTCAATAGTTGAATAACATGAACCATTATTTTGACAAGGTGTTAATGAACATTGATTATATTTAATGTGACATCGATCACCAAAAGAATCGAACTGAAAAATACAAAAAGGTAAATTATTTCCAGTTATTAAACCTCGATAATTTGGTTTACATATAGAACCAGATGAATAATAACCGTTAGTACACTGTTTATCTGCAATCAAACATTTTTTCCCGGTAAAATTACCTTTACAAAGACAAATATATCTGGACTTCGCATCATCATTGATGAGTGGTTGACATTCTTCATTTTGATTACAAGAATTATTTCGACATGGATTTTGTTCCATGCTTGGCTTAGTTAATCGAAAAATCTTAGCGAGACGAAAGACTGGTAAATTGTCAAAATAGATCGGATACTGCCATACTTTAATGAGTAAAGGTACTTCTGAGTGTTCATTTCGTACATTTCAATTCGAACTGCATAAGGATGATCATTAAGAATATTTGATTGGTTCGCGTATCGTTGTCTCTTATGTTGAAGATATTGAAGTGAGCGAGAATAAAGAAGATGAGTCATCCTTTTCGCATAAACGGAGAATTCGGTTGCTGGTTGAATATGAAATACATGATTCATAAGAATTTGATTATCAAAAAGAAATAGAACAACCGTTTTAAGCACAATTTTCATATCACTATTAGTTGTATAGATCGATTGCGAAAGATTCAAATGAAGAAGTACAGTTATTCGATCATTTGTAACTGTGGTCGAAATGAAATTGCTCGTAGACGTAGTAATGTTTGAGTCAGGTGGAAATCGATTGAATTGAAGTTTTTGTTGTGTATTCTTGATTGTTGCTTCTTTTTCTTTCCGATAAAACCCACCAACTAATCTCACCAAAATAACAATCTAGAATTCGATTACATCGACCCGTAATGATACAAGTACCATTGAAACAACGTGCATCTGAAATTCTATCACAATCCGATGATTTTTCTCGAAGTCCACACCCGGCTAAGTTATCAGATGATGTATTACATCGATCTCCGTAGCAATAATTCCAGTAAGGAATGCAACGATCAACTGATCCGCATTTAAAATTATATCCTAACATTGTTAAGTGATTATTACAATGTGTGATGGTATTACGCTCGTCAATATGGCCATCTCCAATATGATGTTTACTAATACAAGGTCGATCATATGATAAATTAGTTTGTAGATTAGTAATATTGACAGGAAAACAGAGCAATTCTGTTGTTAGATTACAAATAGTAGAGAATGGTTTTGCTTGATTTCGATCGTCAGATCTATTTTTAAGGATATGTAATGGCACTACCTGTAAATTTCGATCTGTAATCTGTTGATCATTTAGATTTTCTTCATCCGATGCATCGGAGCAATCCCATTCTCCATCTAAAACCCAATCTTCCTCAATACATTGTCCCGTATTACATTGCCATTGATCATTCCATACGTCATTACATTTGATATCTGCTAATTTTGTACTGGTTCCTAACCAAAGCTCATCGATATGATTATTACAATCATTTTGAAGATTTCCGAGAGTTGTAACGCTCAAACAAGTTGGCTGCTCTTCAGAACAACGAAAACGATAACGTTGCATCTTTGAACATATTGTAGAGATCGAAATATGTGTTGTTTCATCCGCTTTATCGATACAATTTTCAAATCCATCTTTAACGCGATATATTGAAATAAAATCTTTCGACTTATTACAGACATCAGTGAAATGATACGAACGATTGTTGAAAGTTAATGAGTGTCGATGGCTAGGATCATATTTATCGAGTAAAGAATTATTCTTTGCCCATCGACATAAATCATATTCGACTTGACGGAGCTCGGGATTATATTGGTATTGCGTAATAGGAATATTGACCAAAATGCCGTCACATTTAATTGTTCCATTAGTCTGCATAAATTCTGGTTTTAATTGATAATAATTTGGATAGAAAAATAAGATGTATGGAGCCATGATTCCTGCTTTTGGATATAGAACTTCTGTCGAAGGACAAGTCGCATTAAGTTCTTGTGGACAACACTCCGTATATCCACAAGGACAATATATTTCATTTCCTTCTGACATATCTCATCGAAGAAGGTATAAACATTGTTCAATATCAGTACGATTTGTCACCATTGATATAATGTGTTTCACAAATAAAGTATTGTTCACGTCGACTTCGACATTCTCTCTTGATTTGTGACATTATTTGAAAATCAAATCGATTGAAAATGCATTGCCCATCACCACACGAATATTGATTTGCTGGACATATTCGATCATCACATCGAGTACTAACTTCTTCTAAAGGACAATTTGCATCATCATAATATTGAATTTCATCACTCCAATCCAAACAATCAAATTCACCATCGAGAAAAAATTCTTCCGGAATACACATTCCATTCATACATCGATACTCATCATGTTCGCATTCATTAAATTCCAATTTATCACAGTTCTCTTCATCCAATCCTGCCATACATTGTTGAACACCATCGCAAATTTCTCGCCAGTCTAGACATAAAAGACCTGAATTACATACCAATGTAACACAACAAATAATATCTCCATACACTTGTACATCTGTAGGATTTGCTTCTATCAGAGCAATTTCTGCTGTAGCTGTCTGGGAGAATGTAATTCCCATTGGTAATAGATATTCACAATTTTTACCATAGGATTGTGGATCTCTGCATTCACATACATATCCATCAACTTCACTAGAATTTTTCATATAACGTGCGTATTCTTCAACTTTTTCAATACTTGATTTCCATTTATGTAAAATCGTACTAACGGTAACGTTATTTTTGCGGAGATGAGAAAAACAATGAATAATTCCATTGTGATAACATTGTTTTGTGCTGTTGTTTCTATTTAGAATTATCGGTTCTGTCGGACGACGACAATAAAACAAATTTTCATGAAGAATGCAATCATATAGTTCTACTGAAGGGCTGTCTACGGTGTTATACACGTAGACCATCGCGTCAACGAATATTAAGATGAACAATGCAAGTATTATTTTTATGAGTATCATGGCTAATGCGTATAATTTTCTACTCAATGAGCATGCACATAAAAACTATGATATAGAGATATCATAAATAAAAAGAACGTGATTTAGATAGAATCATTATTTAACGCTAATCGAGGATGTTAATGTCACGTATCTTATGTTAGATCAGACATCTGACAAGTAGACATTATTCATAAAGACATGTCTAGAAAGATCCTCTGTTGAGTTCCTGTATTAACCTTAAGAGAAAAAAAATGTACTATAAGGAAAGTACAGGTTATCAGGGGTGTTTTTGTGGGTGTGGGTGTGGATAGATATGTTGGGTGTCGTGAATGAAAGGATGATGAAATCATATAACACCCACACCCACACTCTTTATTTTACACCACTCATTTTTATTAGAATCATTCGTTCAAATAAAATCACACGTGTTTGTGCCATGCCACACGATGGCTTGGTCTCTTTTCACAATATGCACTTTTATATGTGTTTTTGTTTTCGGTACTCTTACCTTTTGATATTTGTCATGTCTTCCATACTATTACCTTTTTGTCATGTTTTTCGGTACTCTTACCTTTTGATATACGTCATGTTTTCTGGACTGTTACCTTTTGACGTCACTGAATGTTTCGAGTCTTATATAAGGTACGAGGAATATTCAGTTGGCAAGCGATTTCTTTTGAAGAATAAAGTATACGTATATACTAAATCTTATACTCACTGAAATATTGTTTCGAACATGTTGATGATTGATCAAATGGATCCTGAAACTAAAATCAAGTGTCATTACGCACATTACCGTACGTATCGAAACTGCATCTTCTATTGAAGAGGAATAATTGTGTAAAGACGTAAATGAGCACAATATTCTGTATTCCGATTCGACAGTAATGAAGTCATTAATTTGGAAACATAATACATTATATTATACAGCATTAATATTAATATGAAAAATTATAATATTTAAGCGAAAGTAAATACTTTTTTTTATTTGTGCTTAAAAAACTGCGATCATACGATTTTAACAGTGCAAGATAATATTAAAAACGAAAAAATTAATACAGTAATAATGAGAAAAAAAGAGAGAAAAACTAGTTTTAAATACGAAAGAAAAGAGAAGAGAGCCATGTTACAACTTTTTCAAGTATAGACAAATGAAGAACAAATCTTTTGGATATTCTCATCTTGAGGGTTATCTTTCTTTCTAGATGACGTACGCAACGAAATAATCACAACTGAAATATGGTATACACGGTAATCATCGTTGATTTTGGTAATGTTTTGTTTACGTTATCCGCTCTTGACGAAAAGAATAAATCCATGGTTTCACAAATTTGCCACACACCATCATGGTTCAAGTACGAAAGAGGTCTGATCAATGAAGAACAAGTATACAAAGCTGTTGTTCCTGAAATGAACAACGAATACAGTTCAGAAACGATCAAAAAAGTGATCGAAACAGGTCGTTCTGCATTAGCGATACAAACACCATTGATGGAATTTCTACAGATACTTTCAAAATCCAAACGTTATCGTCTTTTTGCTATGTCAAACATTTCCGAACCCGATTATGCATTTGTTCAATGTCGCTTCGGTTCTACTATTAACATGTTGTTTGAACGAATCTTTCCATCGTATGCTTCTCGTGATCGTAAGCCAAATTTATCTTTTTTTCAGCATGTACTCACTCAAATCAATGTGTTACCCAGTCAAACATTATTAATCGATGATGAGATCGATAATATTATTGCGGCTCGATCATTAGGCATACAAGGTTTTCTTTTTAAAGAGAAATATATTGATAAAAACCTTCGCTGCTTGTTCAATATGTGTCAAGATGATCCATGCAACTCAGGGATAGCATATTTACAACGACATGCTGGTCAACATTTCTCAATTACAAGCGAAGGCAATGAAATAAAGGAGAATTTTTCACAATTATTAATACTTGAAGCAATGCGTGATACAAGTTTGGTTAGCTATGTGGCACACACTCGACTTTTCAATTTTTTTCAGGTTTTTATTATTCTTTTGAAATTTTGGTCGATAAGAACATTTGTATTTTTCATAGGATGAATCAATGCCATTGAACTTTCCTTGTGACATTGATACGACATCGATTGGTTTGACAGTAGTGGACAATATATCCTCGTCAGTTATTCATAATGTCCTCGATCAAATATTATCCACTTGTTTGAGTGACGACGGAATCATACAAGTTTATTTTGATTCCCATCATCCACGAGTAGATCCTGTTGTTTGTGTTAATGCTCTCTCTCTATTCTATACTCATGGCCGTGGACATGAAGTTCATCGTACTGAACAATGGGTGTATGATGTATTGGTTCATCGAGCTTACAAACAAGGAACACGGTACTATAATACCGCCGAATGTTTTCTCTTCTTTTTAGCTCGTCTTCTCAAACGTGCAACAGCAGTACGAGAGAAAATGGTATCAGCTCTGTGGGCACGAATAGAAGAACGGTTAGCAAACCATGAAACCGATCCACTCATCATTGCCTTGCGACTCGTAGCCGCCGATGCCATTGGTATGACTGAAAAAACGACACCTCGCATAGCAATCGATTTGGAACAATTATGTATGCTTCAAGAAGCAGATGGATCATGGAATGGTGGATCGTTCTTGAAGTATGGATCACATAATATATCGATGAGCAATCGAGGATTAACCACTGCCTTAGCTGTCAATGCTATTCGTGCTTATCGACAATAGAAGTCAACATCTTTTAGTTAATAATTTTCATCATTTATAGTCTTGCATTTTTATTTTTCTACTTTTTTTTATTAGCTGAAATAAAGTCATATTTTCTTTCTCTTTTCATCTCTCGTTTCATATGCCTTCAAGTTATTCGATGCGTAGAACAGTTAGGATTGATCTCGGAACAGTAAATTCATGCGTCGGATGTGGATTGAGTTTCGATTTGACGATCATATTAGCGATACCTATTCTCGCCCATACTCTCAAAATATGTCACTTCATTTACATAACCCATGAGCACCCCTTTTCTTTCAAAAAAATTGGAAGAAACCAATTGTTGACAACCGACAGAAAGAAACACATTTACCTGATGCAAATACAAACATAACATCTTTACTCGTCAGAAGGAAAGAAAGAATGCGTGCGTCAACTAAAACTACTTATTAATGCAGCAAATTCACTCTTACTTATTTAAAAAAACACGTTTTAATGGAGTAGGTAATTGTTTGAAAAAAATCCAAATGACTCAATTACAAAACACTGATGTAAAAAGGAAAAAAACAACTCGCCGTCGTATAAAAAGCAGCACTTGTTTGAAGCTACGCTTATTCAATTCTTGATTCAAATTTCTACCGAATAGTCAGTTAATCAATTGTTTTACATTCTGCGAATATGAAAATTTATTTGAAATCATTAGACAATATCGTTCTAACCTTCGAAGTGAACGCCTCGGACACGATCGAACAGTTGAGACTAAAAATCGAAGAAAAAACGGGTATCAAACCACATGCCATGCGAATTCTATTTCAAGGTAATGTCCTACAAGACTGCCACACATTAAATGATTATAAAATCACACACGAAAGTACAATTCAGACTACAACGAGTTTGCAAGGGATCGTTACTCATTAATCAACATCGACCCGACAAGATGAAAGCTGGAATGAACTTACTTGGACTACAATACTTTTACTTATTTCACTGTTAAAAAATTTGATTACAAAATACTCTTGATTTTTTTTGTACACATTTGAATAAAATATCTCTAGCTCATGTCCACAGTTGAAGCTAGTCGCCTCAACACTGCTATATGTTTGTGAAGCCATTGATCTACTCGACATTTCTTCTTCACCTACTTCTCTTTTCATTGTTGATTTTAGTTCAATCCATGAATTCAATTCGATATATGCCATGAAGATGATCATTCAATATTTGAAAGAAGCTACAATACCATTGAGGACAATTCATATTAGAGTGTGGCTTGTTGTCAATCTTTTTATGAACAATGCTTTCCACCAAATTAAGTTTTCATCTACTTCACTTCATTGGCTGTCACATAAACCATGTATCTTGTCGAATCATTGTGTCACTACTTTTGCACAAAATGGAGAAGAACATGGGACATTCAAACATCAGTCGAAACTTGACTTGACTTTATTTAGCGAACATCGTTTCACTGAATTCTTTGGGCTTTAACAACTATGTTCATCTGCTATACAAAAAAGTTGAATTTAACAAGACAAATACTGCTCTGACGGATAAATTTTCCAAAGTAGTCACATCGACCATGCAAAGTTGGGTTCGAATTATCACTTAGACAAGCATTAGAAATTAACGCACTAATAAAATACTGGATCAATTCTGGATATTGTACAAGCAAGAGATACGAGCAAATCCAGATGAATACATTGCTTGCTCTTATTATACATATTTAATCCTGAAAAAAGTTTAATACACGTCAAACGCTTATTCAATAAACAATAAAACTCTCTTTTTAAATTGAACATTCTTATACAGACTTTATTTTTTTGACGATGAACTTAGAGTGTGGCTGGGATGTGTGCAACTGTAGAGATACGGCTAATGTGTTCATCTTACGCCTACACCGCAATTTATCCGTCTAAGTTAACTATTATAAGACAAAAGGAAATAATACATTATAATCAGTAATAATATATTGAATTTTTCATATTTTATTTCATCATATATTCACTCAGCATAATATGACAATAATTTCAATAGAGAATTAAATGGTCAAGGGGCGAAAATCTCATTCGAACAGTCCGAGCATTCTGATTCAACATAATAGATCTAGGATTTGCCTAATATTAGTTTAACGGTCAATCTTAATGAAATTACTTAGATATCTCAATCCATTCGTAAGGGTCCCAAATGAGATTTTTTCCCCTCGATCAAAATTCACCATAACTCGGTCATCAAAGAGACTAAATATAGATATTAATATTCACTTCATTCTAGGATTTAAATAGATGTATGTATGAAACTTTATATATTTATACATTGCATTAACAATATTATGATCATATGCTTCTTTCGTAAGTTATATTCTGTACATAACTTTCAATATATATACTAATAGATTAAATCATTAATAAAGAAAAAAAAAGAAATGTTAACTCATAAAAATCGATATATTTAGTCGTTTTCAGTTTAACCACGTGATTAAACCATAGAATTTATAAAATAATACATTCATTAGAATTCCGATCATTGATTATTTTATTTCCATCGTTGATTGATAAATCAATTACAATATGTCCATCATAATAAGTTACTTTTAAGTTATTTCGACGGACAAAATCTTCAACTTGTGGTTTTATTTTCGGTATTTTATTTGGTGAATCATTTCCCATTCCTGTAATAATTGTTAATTGTGATAGATTTTCTAAACGACATTTATTTAATCTATCTTCTACATATTTCAAGGCTTCAGTAACATCATTCGAACGATTTTGATTAAAATGTTTAAAAATTAATTCAGCTGCTTGTTGATTTTTTTCATTCATTTGTATGTAAAGATTGTTCTTGTTAATTGATAATAGTTTTGCTTGAGATTTATTTCCAGATTGATATTCCAGTTGAGAGTGTCTTGATGATTCTTTTGCTTCGTTCATAAGTCGAAATGCTTCACATCGTAATGATACAGCTTCAATAGGAATTCCATTTTGTACGTAAGCTTCAGCATTTTTAGATAAAACTGAATTATCACCTTCATTAGTAGTAGAGAATAGATTACCCATAATTCACATTAATTTCTTATTAAAATATAGATTATAAATGAAGTACTATTTTTATCGTAAATAATGTTATAAAGGACAAATATGCAAGTGAAAAAATGCTGTTGTATCTGAATGAGACACGGACAACTGTATAAATCTATCTTCGAAATTTTCTTTTAGATAATAGTTCAAGATGTTCACACGTATTGAAACTTACCTTAAAAATGTATTGTTTTTTTTCTTGTTTTTATCTTTCGATTAACTTCGTAAAAATGATTACTCTTGCCTTCTAATGTGAAGAATCAATGCTGCGAATATTTTGTTCCGTGCCACGTTGTGCCTTCCATTTTGTTTTTCTTTTGCTATGTCATGAGAATACTTAGTACCATATTCTGATTCATGTATATAAAATCGAATGAATAGCGAAAGGAGAATGAAAAAAATATGCGTCTTTTTCATTCGTCTTCTTCCATCTGTTCTTTTATACTCAACAAAAGAATATGATATAAAAAAACAATAATTATATCAATGTTCGTCATAAATATTTTAGATTGAACGATCAGATTCAGTCTAATAGTTTCTTTATTACAAAACTAAATTTCATTATACTTAATTAATATTTTTTTAAGAAAATGATAAATTTATTCCAGGGTGATATGCGAGTAAGACCAGTCAAAATCTAAAAATATTCTGTGAACTAGCATACTGTTGTTACTTTCTTGATCGGGTAAAAACAGATAGCGAATAAATAATTTGCGATATAACTCGTCCCTATTTACATGATTAATTTTGATACTCTTATACAAAATCGATAGAAATTATTGATCTGAAAACGTAATTAACGTAATATAAAAATAAATCAATATCCCTTCTATTGAGTAAACTTACTTTTTGAAAAAAATGTAAATAATATTATTATTTATGAATTATTTATTATACAATATTTCTGTTTTATGCATATATGTTTTTCAGATTTCTTAATATTGTCCTTTCCCTTTGCTTCAAAATTTGCACGAATACATAATCATCGATTTCTGTTGCCATTTTTCTGAATATATATCATATTTTTATTAAAAAACATATATCGTGTTGTTTCAATAATGTTAATTTTTAATTCATTTAGGACGCATACATTTATACTGAGAAAAATGATCTTAAATAAATTGATCGTTGATTTTCAATACAAGCTGTCTATCAATATGTTTATTCATTGGTAATATTATCTGCATTGCTTCAACACTTTAATAATTACTTAGTTTTTGTATAGAAGTTTACAAGAACGGTGTGTGAATTTGAGCATATGAATACTTTTATTTTCTCAACATAAATTTACAGCGTCTCGGTTTTTTTTCACTTATTATACAATTAGATTGTGAATTGACATGGAATATTTATGCTAATTCTGGAAAATTTGTGAATTATTCTTTAATGTTCATCTTACCGACTATTAAACAAGTCAAGAGATTTTAGGCTTCTTTTATTTCATTGTCTTCAAGATTAAGTCAAGCAAGTATCGAGTTAGAAAATATGATATATGAAAAAAGAGTAAAATTCACGGTATTTTTATGTAATGTATCGATCAGATGTACAACTCTTTTCACTTTGATATTTTTTATTATTTGAGTTATTTTCAAAAACCTTAAAAACTAAGAAATGAACACCTGCACAAATGATTATGGCTAAAGATTGCTGAATGATCGTATTAGATTCATCATTAAAATATATGCACTTGATTATAATAAAAGAGTTTAAATTTATTTGAAAGAATAAAGAAATGGCACATATGAAGTATTCAAGTTATACAGGGATGATGAAAGAATAAAAGATATATTTGAAATTTAGAAGGATGTGTAATAAAGAATGAAACTCATATTTATGAATGTGAAAAAAATTGAACTCGATTGTTAGAATTATCGGATACATATAGATTCAGTTGATTATCAACTGTGACCCAATAGGGATAATTTAATTGATTCTGACTAATGCCAGATGAACCTGTGACGCCAGCGATGGTTGTGCCGTTGGATTGACCTGCAATGAAGAATTGAATGCGATGGTTTCCTGAATCAGCTACATAGATATTGCCTAATGGATCTAATGTGATGCCGACCGGATTATTGAGAAGTGTTGATGTGTCACCACTTAATCCAGTAGGACTGCCAATGACGAGTGTCCAGCTACTTGCACCTAACACCCAACGAACAATATTATTGTTTGGATAATTAGCAATAAAAAGACTATTTGAGGGTGAATCAAAAGTAAAACCATATGGATACGCCAACTGTGTATTATTACTTCCTGGACCATTCCCACCAGCAACTACTGTACCCGAAGAAGCATTCAAGAGATATTGCATTATACGATGATTGAATGTATCGGCTATATAAAGTGTCCCTGTGTTTGAGTCACGGGCTATACCACACGGTCCACATAAGGTATCGTTTGTAGATCCCGGAGTACCTAAATTAAAATTGAATAGAACAATTTTTCTTCTGATATTTTATTATGCAATTTTAATCATATGTGACTCTTTGCAATCACTTACACATCGAGTTCCATTGATTTCTATCTTAGAAAGGTAGATTATCTGTTTTGTTTATATATACTCAAAAATTCAAGACCAACATATTTATTCACGAAGAATAACTTGAATAGCAAGAAATCAATAACATGGCATTATTCTCCATAGCATTAACTAATAGTTAAATACATGTTCTCTCTATGTTACAGATTATTCTCAACAGACTTTGTTTTGGTGCAATTCTCAATTAATAGATCAGAAAAAGGCATTAAATAAAGATTTCAGTCATAAAACGAAAATTGACAGTTTCGAGCATTTTTTTGTATCTTTTCGTACCTGTAATACCGGCAATCGTAGTGCCAGATGATGCACCATTTGCCCAATATACAACTCGATGGTTATCTCTGTCTGTAAAATACATATTATCATTAGGATCAAGCGCAACACTGACAGGCAAGGTTAAAGCAACTGAGCTTCTACCATAGGTTCCATTTGAGAGACCAGCCATCGTTGTACCATTCGATGCATTGCTCAACCATTTTTGTATGCGATTATTGTTAAAATCGGCAATATAAAGTGAGTCGAATGAACCCAATGCGGTCCCATATGGATTAAGAAGTAGATTATCTGCTGTGCCTGTAGAACCGTTACTCGCACCGGCTACAGTGATGCCCGTTGTATTCCAACGATACAAGATCGAAGCAGCTATAAAAACAAATGAAATCTATAGCATACATAGTACACCTTACTGTTAGTTACAGAATCGACAAATGTACATTATCTTTCAGGTTCTCTTATAAGCTATGAGAGTTAACTTGATGCCTCACTTTCAGTCTTGACAAAGAGATTTCATATGCCTATGTTTCTTTTTTTACTGTCAGCATTATAGATCTTTGAAAATAATTGTAATCTGCAGAAAACTCTAGTAATATGGATGGCTATTCTTAATGAAGTCAACAATGAAAATTTGTTAATATCAATCACTTTCACTTTCACTTCTATACTTTCTTCCATTCACATAGTTTTTCTGTCCTTGATCCTCACCTCTATAACAATATGTAATTTATTCATGTGTGAAAGAGAAATATAAAGTAGACTAGGAGCTGATTTAATAACCTTCCTACCTGGTAATTTGCTATGTTGAAAGTCATAAACTATTGTGTTCATCGAGACGGTAAGATTCGCTGGTGTAACTTTCCCGCTATATAACGAACATTGAGGAGTAATTGAACTATCAAATACAGCAGTATTGCAATTGGCAAATTGATTTGCACATTGAGCAGCACAAAGTAATTGCTTTTTCACGATCAAATGAGTGATTATGGTGCTTGTTGAATTATAACTCATGTTATAGTAGACATTGCCTATTGTTGAAAATAATGCATTCGCACTTGTAGTCCAAATAAGATAATACATGCATAATATACGGAGACAGGTCATCTTGATTATCTGAAAATAAGTTTGTATAATTAATAGCATTCATAGTACATTTATTGTTATGTACAATATACATCTATTAATATTGGCTTATATCTTTTTTCTATGCTTCGCTATGCATCAGTTTAGTTTGTTCAATTTTAAGAAAGAAGCTTTTATTTCTATTCAATAAATATTTTCACTAATTTGCATTTGATCAGACACGTAACTCACTCAAAACCAATAAGAAAAAACGAGCTTTGTAACGTCGAAACAAACAGATCTATGTTTTTGGAAAAAGAACATTTAACGAGTAATACGTAGGATGCAGAAATAAATCGGTCTGTTGTCAGTCGTCTTGACGGTTTGGGTGAGGGTGAGGGTGAGGGGTGCGGGTATTTTATTTTAGCCACATCCACACCCACATCCTCACGATCAATGTTACTTTGGATAATGAAATTGTTATCAAATAAAATATATTCTTCAATTTTAAAGAAGCATTTTATATAACATTGTTATATTACAATATATGTTTTGATGATATAAAAATAAGAAGAATCAAGCAAAAAATCGCTTTCGGTAACAAATATATGCGTATAAATATATTTATTGGATAAAGACTACAGTAGTATATGTTTTAATAGTTTACAAAAACATCTTATCATTTGTTAGATGGTTGCATAGTGATACATTTCTTTTTCTGTTAATCTCAGAATGTATCTCCCGTTTTCCGAATCTCACCACAGTCTACTACAAATCAGTAAGAAATGCTTCTTATGCTAAAAACTAGTACTACATTCAATTCACAATTTATCACAGAAAAACTGAATCTGCAAGTTTCCAATTAGAAATTCAATTTTGTTGCAACAAATTAGAAATTTGATTCTGTAGTATATTTCATTACAAAAAGCACAGCTAAAATAATGAAGAAAGAAGCGTATCAATAAAATTAATATTTACCTAAAGTTCATATTATAATTTTGATTTAACTGTTTGAAAACGAGATTGTTTTGAGAGAAAATGAAAGTTCTCCAAATGTTGAAAAGAATATATATTCATTACAAAGGGACTAAATGCAAATATTGGATAGATGATAATGTTATATTATGTTAGTGATGACATATTCATCGCCTGCACTAGTATGTATAATTATAATTGCACGATAAAATGTCTACACGCGTTGCGCTGTATTCATTCAAACCTGGATGTAAATAAATACTTCCGCTCTCAAGCGGTTAAAATCAATAGAGAATAGTTTATTTTAAAAAAAACACATATTTACCTAAACTTCATAATATGAGATTGATTTGAAATAAGAAGAAAATAATTTATTTTAAAGAAAATTTATAGTTACTTCAGTATTGCTAGATGCTAAACTTGAACATTTGAAATTTTAGTTTCGAATTTCGGAAATGTTTTAGAATCAGTTGTGGTTGTTGAAGATGAATTATTCTCTCTATTCAAAAGATACATCAGAATATAGATAATTCAGTAAAGAAGAAATTATCAGTTAGATGCTTCATTATTAATTTAGATGTTGTTTCTTCGTACAATAGTTTTCATTGTCGGAGCAATAAACTTTAATAATTATAATGTAACTAATGAGAGAAGATCATAGACTTCATGATATAGATAAAGATAAACTTCAAAAAATACTGAATATACTTGGTATTAATTATATTGACGTACAATCTTGTTTAATATCATATAAGTCACTACATATGCATTACTATGGAGAATTCAGAATAAAAAAGTGATGAATTTGTATAGATTAGGTGAAGATCTAGATTTAAATGATAAAAGTATCGCACATAGATGGTCAGATCTTATTTCTTTTGTTACATTACCTTCTTCTTTTGAGTTGTCATTATCATCATTTTGTTTAAGGTAGATAGAAAGTATTTAAGATCTGTAAAAACCCAATATCAGTCGGGAAGAGATGTATTATTAAAAATAAAGCATGACAAAAAAACGACAATATACAGCTGTGCGTAATAAAACTGAGATATTTTTTACTCATGCACATCTCATTCGTATTTTCTGTTATTATAGTATACTCCAGTATAATTACCTTTTCTTCCTTCTTTTCTTTGTACTTAGTATGTATTTTTCTCCATAACGCCGTCTTAGGAGTTTGTATCTTTTTTTAAATAAAATCTGATAAATTCTTTTAGTTTCTAATCGGTAGTATATATATGTCGTTTGAATAAAGAAAATATAAAGAGTGAGAACGAATAAAAATATTCTTCGTTGAATAATAATCGTCAAGTTCAATAATCATCCTCATGCATTTTCACAATCGCTGCCTCAAGTTGTGCATATAATATATTTTTCAAAAGAAAGACTAACATGTGACACTACATGAATAAACACAAAGGTATAAGAAAAAGACTCTTATACAATATTTTTTTTTATATGAAAACTATGAAATGAAGAATAATCTTCATTGATGACTAACTATATAGCAAGTTCTTATATTTTAAGTCAAATTCACTTCATGAAAATACAAAAAATAGAAGACATTATTTGACCGAGGTTAAAAACTGAGGAAAGCATTCTGTGAATCAGTCATACTTCTGTTTTCTTGTGTTTCATTATAGAAGTTTTATCAGTGAAGAAAACGAAATCATTTCTTCATGTCTAACCAAGATGACGACACCTTCAGACACAACTGGTGGTATATTAGCCTTTGATATCAGTGAATTTTCCCGTTTAGCTGCTGATTCCACGACAATATCTCAACTGACATCTGAAGATTTCCAACAAGTAGCCGATGCTTTATATATAATTCGCTCATCAATGGTATGAATAGAATGATGGTTGAAGGAAAAGGTTCTGTAACTCAGTTTATTACTGCTCAATTCAAAAATATGAATATGAAACAGAGTCAATTTGAACCAAAAGTAATTGACAATTTAGATCAATATCCACAACTGAAAGCAAACAAATGTAATTTTTCATATAATGATAACGAATCAATGATGACTGCGAAAGGTGTTCGAACATTTCGTATCCAAGGAAGAGAATAGAACTATATTTCTTTAATAAGTATTTTTTATTCATAAAATTAAAGTATTATCATAAAACCATTTTTGAAAATTTTCTAAATTTGTTAATAATTCATTTTCATTCTTTCCAGTAATAAAACTAAAAATCAGATTTACCGAAAAACCATCTTCTGTTTTCAAATCAACAATAGAACCAACAGGTCTATGACATATATATCCATCTATACCCTTAATATCACTATTGACTACACTTGGTATTTTAATAATAGTTCCACGTTTTGATGGAATTCGTAATGTACCTATTAATAATTTTGGTTTGATTGGTTGTTCAATATGAATTTTATAATCGAATGACATATCAATATGTTGTTCATATAAATCTATATCAAATGCTCTACTCCAATTTTCATGTATTCTACAACCTCCCACTCTACTTGCTACTTCACAAAATACAATTTCATTATTATTATTATTATTACTATAAAAAAGTTCCATATGAAAAGCTGAATTTAATTTATATTGTGAATATAATTGTAATTCATGTAGAACATTTTTAGTAAATAAACATAATGGTTGTAGTAAAAAATGATCATGTGGTATAATATAAGAACAATCTAATTTTTCATAGGATATTTCAGCACAAGGTCTAACATATTTCGATGGCCATATTGAAATAACATTTCCATCTTGAATTAATCCATCAATATGATAAAAATCTCCTGAAATATATTCTTCAATTTGCCAAGTGTTACTATTAAAATCATATTTATTTAACCATTCATGAATTTCATTATATGATTTTATTATTGTTACATCTCGTGAACCAGACATTGATGTTGGTTTGATAACAACAGGATAAATATGATTAGTTTCGATAAGATAATCATCTATATCTTTTTGATTTTGAATTAATTTAAATTTTGGAACTCGTATATTCGATTTTTGTAATATAGTTTTCATTAAAACTTTATCACGAAAACACATAGCACTAAATAAAGTTTGCCCGTTAATTTCATATTTATCTCTTAATTCTCCAGCTAATAATAAATCAGTTTCTCTTGGAGCAATTAATTTTGTATATTTATATTTTTCAAATAAATCATAGAGAGTTTCTCTAATATTTTTTTGATAATCATTTATAAACATAATTTCACTAAATATTGTTTTGATATAGTTCTTTTGTATATCGGTTAATGTATTTGGAAATACACCATGTAATACGTCTTTGCTCACCACTTTTTCAATAAAGAATGGATATTCATCATATATAATTAAAATCATATTGTTGCAAGAAACGCTTGTATGTATTTTACAATCTAAAAAATTATCGACATCATAACGGCGTTTGTCTTCTTTTTTTCACATTTTATGTATTATCATTATCTTTTTATCCTTATTTCATACACCATGTGATACTTTGTTCCCATCGTATTTTGTCCTTGTTATATTCGTTGATGACCGAGTATTATAAGCGCATGCTTTGTATGAAAACGATGGGATTTTAGATATCAGAAATCGTCACAATATAATTTATATGATGCGTTTTTTGTTATGTATTTAAATCAGGAGCTATAAGAATAAATAATTTTCTCGAAATGTTAACAGATGAGGATCATATTAGCGATACCTATCCTCACTCACACTCTCAGGATGTATCGCTTCTTTTTCAAGAAATTAGAAAAAAACAATTGTTGAGAGTCAACAGAAATTATCATATTTACCTTCCATCTTTGCCCATGAAAAGAGAAGTAAGAATGCATGCGTCAACTGAAACCATTTATGTAATGCAGCAAATACACTCTTGCTTATTACGAAGTATATTTTAATCAGTATCTAATTGTTTGATAAATTCAAATAACTCAATATGAGAAGCTTTTCATGAGCAATGCAAAATCAAACATAACAGCAGGAGCAACAATTTTTTTTTCTCTTTCTATAATAATTGCCAACTGTTTTTTTGTCGAGTGTTTCTCGATGTGTCAGCAAATGACTCACATGCTTTCTTTACCAACCAGTAATGCAAAAAGGAAAAAAACAACTTAAACAATACGTTGAATTTTTTAACAACTCACCATTAGACATGCTCCCCTTGCCAGTCGGACTGGTCACTCAGCCGGACTAGTCACCCAGTCGGACTAGTCACCCAGTTGGACTGGTCATCCAGTCGGACTGTACTGCTGCATGCCTACTTACCATCGTATAAAAAGCAGCACTTGTTTGAAGCTACACTCATTCAATTCTTGATTCAAATTTGTGTTGAATACTCCGTTAAATCGCTTGTTCTATTCTGCGAGTATGAAAATTTATCTCAAATCAGTAGACAATATCATTCTGACCTACAAAGTGAACGCGTCGGATGCGATCGAAAAATTCAGAGAACAAGTCGCAGTGAAAATAGGCATCAATCCAAGTGCCCTACGACTTATATTTAATGCCCAATCACTAGACGACGGGCGCACATTTGATGATTATAAAATCACTGCTGGACGTACAGTTCTGACCACACACAAGCTGCAAGGACTCGTTACTCAATAACCAATATCCACCTGCAAAGATGAAATACTGTTTTACTTATTTCCCTACTAAAAACACTAGATTACAAAATACTCTTGATTTTTTTATGCACGTTTGAATAAAATATCTCAGTAATGTTTCAAAGACAAGAAAAAACCTTCTTCTTCAATATTTTTCATTTTCATGCTCACTACATTCTTGAGGGTGTAGATATGGGTGTGGATAGTATTATGTTACACTTACATCGACACCCACACCCTCAAGATATTTGATGAAGCTGTTCTATTGATTATAAATGTTGGAATTGAAACACTCTAGTGTAATGCAGAATAAAAAATTATTGTAATTGGTTTTTGGTATGAAAAAAAAGAACTTTACTTTATTAATCGAAAATAAACTACTACTCATTATTCGTCGAGCCATATTTCGTATATTAGTGTTAAGTCAACGAGAAAAAATAGTTTTTTCTCTTCTGCGATAATACATGTTACAATAAGAAAGAGAAAAGAACGTCAGTTTGTCTGTATCACGTGTCGTACGATTCTTGTTTTCTCATTTATTCTTACTCATTTCTACTGCAATATTTATGACCATTGTCGTTGACATTTATTTTTATTCTTTTCATCAATAATCGTCGTTTTATTCAACATATTTTTCTTCTCTTGGATAGAGTGTGTTGGGTATAAATAAAATAGTTTAAGGGAATCAACAATAAGTAATGATACTAAGAGAATACTTAATGAAAAAAAAAACATCTTTTTAATTTTAAATAGATAAATGAATGAATGAACAAATAAAGTAGAAAAAGAAAAAAAAATCGTTTTTTGTATATCATTGATTTTCTTCTATTTAGAGAATAAACGATAAATAAGCTTAACAGTTGCTTGCAGTTTTTCTGTTATTTGATGATCTGATAAAATCTTCGAACGAGTAAGTAGACAGTATTGTCTCTGCTAACAGTTTACTCGATTTTTATATACTTCAGAATTTTGTTTTCGTTTGTTTGATTTAATTATACTTAACAGTATTATGAATGATTGAAATAAGGATAGATATGAAATCAATTCATAAAATTCGTATTATAAAGGCGCTCCCCTTTATCATTTATTTCACTTTTGCATATAAATATTCACATTCTTGATGATACTAAACACTAAATTCAATAAAGAAAATTATAGAAGTACAATTATTTATAAACTAAAATCGATAATAAACAAATGACGGGCATGATCATTATGAAAAAATCTTATAAAGTGTGGATGTAGATGAAAAGTGAACTGTCGAATTCTCATTCATACCCACATTTATACCTTGCATAAAAGATAAGATCTGGACGAATAATGTTTCATGTAGGTAGGTTATATGAAATTTATTAGAAAGAAAAAAGAAAGTGATATAATATGTTAAGCATTTTGAATATAATAATTAGCAGTGTTCACTTCATATGAAGGCAAAAGAAAATGATAAATATGTTAAACATTGTGAATATAGCAACTAGCAGTGTTCACTTGATATGAAGGGCACAAAAATTTTCGAATAACATCAGCAATTAATTGATGAACAGGATAAGTAACGTGTATATTGTCAAGAAACACATTTTTATTAGGATCCTTACAATTTTGTATGATTGTAGTCGGATTAACATCAGTCCAACAACTATTGGTTGTATCTTTAAAGTAACCAAGACCTCGTGTAATAACTTTCGTGAAAAGTGAATTAATATCAAACATATTGATTGATGTTTGTTTATACACTTGTTGAATTGCATGTAGATACAAAGCTACAAGAGTGTTGAATGCTGCTGTCAATTCAGTTAATACGGTAGCATTTGCATATGTTGAAAGCGCAGGAATATACTGAGCTGGTTGTACATTAAATACTAGAACATGTTTGGCATTTTTTTCACATAACTTTGTCACTAAGTTTGTTAGATTGCTTGCAATATCAAGTATTGGTAATAGTGGATTGAAAAGTATGTTGTTGCCACCAACCCAGATGATATGAAGAGTCTTTTCAGAACTAATGATATTTGAGCTGTATTCATTGAAATATTTATCGATCTGTTGGTTAACTCCAGGAACAGGAATAGTATTAAACTTTGTGTAGCCTTGTACTTGTCTATTGTCAGTTGTTGCACCTGGATAGGCATAATTTTTTATTTCACGTACTTCTAGCTGATCAACCCAATTACGATAGTTACAATATCGTCCACGATAGTATGGAGGTGACAGAGGCCATGTTTTATTGGTTAACTTATAACCATTTTCTTGATCCGAGTATGAATCACCAAATATTATTATTTTTTCGAAACGACGTTGATCAATGCAATTGTCATACGCACCAAACGTTGGTATAAAGAAACCCGCAACAAGCGTTGGTAAAAAGAAACCGAGAATAAGACAAGAAACATAATGCAACATGATTGTATTATGAAATGAAGCTTCTTACGGGCGCCTTTTATACTTACTTTCATTGTCTATCATCAGATGATGAATGTCGTGTGATCAAGACAATTATTTTGTAATTTATGAGCACTTGTGATCGGTATTTTTAAATTTTATTATAGACTGTGGAACGATTGATTACCATCTGATGTACATATGATAGATTTATGAGATTCCTCCAGACGATACTTAATTTTTATTTTACTTTGACGAGTAATAAAATAAAATTTTATCTGACAGTTTTATTTTTAAGATATCAACGAATAAGATTCGCGTTTTTTTCTCATTGGATTTGCTAATGGGCCGATTGCAAATAGAATTCGATTGCTTCTATCAATTATACTATTTGCTTTCTCCAGACGTGGATGTCAGTGTTGTTTTTATGCAATACTCACACCCACATCCTCAAGATGAAATACAATAATATGTTGTTCAAGATCTTTTTTTTCTTCTTTATTTTAGATTAAAATCAAAAATAAATTATATTATATTACAAAGATGATGAAAAAATTGAATTTCTTTCATTTACAGTTGCTGATCATTATCTTTAACAAGATAATCAGAAGGTATTGGAATTTTGTTCAAGTTTATTAAACAACCTTAACAAGATGATTAAAAAAACTTTCTTTGAAATAACCATAGGAATTTAATTATTTTTTTTAAAGGATCAATAAATTGAATAGCGAATAACATTTTGGCTTATAATTATCAATTATAACAACAACGTCTGAAAATAAAAGGAAGAAGAAAAAAATAATTAATTAAAATATTTCGTTCTAAGATCAATATGAACAAATACGAATTACTCTATCAATAAAATAGAAATATATGACTTTGAATATGTGAACTGAAAGTCAGTGAAATAAAGATAATCAGATATTTAACATTCTGTGGGCAAATTTCTTTTATAGTTTTCTAATTCATGTTGTCTTCTTGAAAATCTTGAACGATATATTTTTCTGCTTCTTGTTGTAACCATAATTTCTCAGTATGATGTTTCATTATTTTCTTCGAAATAATAATACTTAAAATAATTCCAATGAACATACCAATAAAAGCACATATTTATACCATAATAATAATAGCAAACAAAATTTCATATGTACTTTCTTGATTATAATTAAAATAACTCTTTCTAGTTGAATTACAATTATATCTAGCGAAATCACCAATATAAAATAAAATAATGAAAATAAAAAGACCAAAAATAGTCATTAATAATATAAAAGCAGTTAAATAATAAACGACAAATTCATTGATTGAATTCGGAAATAGATTTAATATTAATAAAATGCCATTTATTGATTGGCAAGATTTATTTGATGAAGTATTTGAAGATTGCTCTGATAGTTGGATATTAACTTTTCTTCACAGAAATGATATGAGTCAATATGAAAATCTTCAAAAGAATTGTATGAAAATGACGAGAACTGGATATGCACTGTTTGTTAATTATTATTTCCATTTTATTTTATTGGTTAAGTTTTTTTTTATAGTTTCTTCTGTAAAAAATGTTCAAATACTTGGGCATCTGCTAAAGCACAAGTAGTTTTATACCATCCAAAATCAAAAACATTATCTAGAAAAGTAACACTTCGTTTTTATGGTCAACAATGTAAAAGATGCTCCAATAGAAATAATCATTTCGTTGATCCCGAGTTTGAAAATGATAAAATAAAATCATATCTCGAAGCACTCTATCATAAATTTGGTTGGTATTATTATGGCGAAGAACGACCAGAAATACAGAACCGAGATATCAATAAAGAACGTCAAATGAATGGACCACATGTACAAGAATTATGTGAAGCATGTCAATCAGGTTGTTGTGAACGAATATAAACAATAAATTAATTTTGTCTTTTTTTCTCTCTGTTACACATATTGATAAATATTTTGTATTTGTACGAACCGACTATCCTATATTTGAAAAAAGTGATTTTTAACGACTCATATCTTTTTAATTTTATTTTCGAATTAAAAAATATATATTGTTCTTATTTGCTTCGATCATAAAAAGTCAATGAAAAAAATTGATTTCAACAAATAATTGGATAGCTGGACATCGTAGCAATTCCGCATTGATTATTTTTGTTACGTGTCATTTTGATATAACCTTCATCGCCCCAACTTACACCCCAACTGAAATGATGATAAACAAATAATACAATATTTAATAAAATACCGAATGTATAATAATTACCTGTTTTTCACAAGCCAATAATCTTTGCCTGACTCTGTACCATAACCGATAGCAAGAACGCCGTGATCAAGTTGGGTTGGTGAGCAAGCAGGTTCATTGTAGACTAAATAAATCATATAAAATTATATAAGAGAATAAAAAATGATAAAAAAATACATACCACCGTTTTTATATAACTGAAATGACGTATGACCAGCATCAATAGCAACTGATATTGGTCCAATAGTTGCAACGGCTTGTTGAAGAGCTGCTTCATCTTTTGATGCAATGTCAGTGAACCCACAGACTTTAACAACAACGTCTGATGTATTGAATACGCATGTTTTACCAACAGCCCTATATGGATATGCATCTTCAGCTTCAATACCACCAGCTTTTTCGATATATTCGAAAGCTGCATCCATCAAACCACCTTGGCATCCCATATTGCCGAATGGACCGGAACAGTCGACTAATTGTTGTTCAGAGAGTGAAACAAGTTTGCCAGTTTTAATAGCATATGCACTCTCGATTGAGCCAACTGCTGAGAAAGCCCAACATGATCCACATTGACCTTGATCTTTGACATGAACAACATCACCTTTATCACGCCAGTCTATATTAAAAAAGAAATAGTCAAATAAATTATACAGATCACAATTCTCAATTGTTTCAATACATACCAACCGTATCTGGTAACTCAATATCTGGATTTGATGTGAATTTTTGACGATTTTGACTGTGTTCTTTCTGCATCGTGCTATTGAAACCATTCAATACTTTCACAAATTCATCGACAGTCTAGTTACGAAAAAAACATGATTAAAAACTTCGAGTCAAAATAAATAGAATAAAACATTACTAAATCTGCATATTTATTCATTCCAAGCCAGTATGTATGAACACCAAGATCAGCTTGAAGATTGTGTTCTTCAACTATCTTCAAATTACTTGTCCATATAGCACGACTATAATTTTCACAGTTTAATAATCAGTCTAATTTCAAAATGAAAAATAATATGACATACCGAAGATGTTCTTCGTTATTAGAATAACGTTTATTATGTGCATTTTTCCATAAACTCCACTGTTGTTTGAGTGTCTCCTTGCGAGCCAATGTGCAGCTAAAAGCGAGCACAACGAGTGTAAGAACCAAAATAGATTGCATCTAAATATTTTGATTATAAATAAAGACACTGTTCTATCTCCAGACACTCACCTCTGTTGAATGAAAGAAAAAAAACGAGTATAATTCAGTCGCAGCGTAATAAGAATATTTATACTGTCTCTTATCTTAGATGATGCGTAATGCTGACCAAGAAGTTTCATGTTGAAGTGCATCGTCATTTTGTATATTTATCTTGATATGACGAATTTTTTCTCTGTTAATGCTTTATCATCAAGAAAATGTTGAGTCAGTTGACAGTTTTGAAGATGATGAATATCAGGTTTCTATTTATTCCTGATTCAATTATATAAACGAATGAAATACTAGTTTCTCTTCATCCTGTTTTTAATCAATTATAATAGCTATTTTATAAGACAAATCCAAGATAAAAAAATATATTATTGCATTAATGTTATATGAAAAAGAATTAATAAATCAATACTGTTTAATTTGAGCTTTGTTCGAACAAATGAGATGGGTGAATGTAGATGTAGATATATAATGAATTCACTCACTCTCTGCCAACTTTTAGTTGCATATTCACCGACACTAGTAATGAAGAACTTCCAACTGAACATCTTTGGTCATCTAAAACATTTACAGCAATGATATCAGAGTTTAGTAATAAAGCAAGTATATGGAATTACGCTTCTATTGGTTGGAAAAATACTGCTTGATTATTTTCAACTCTCTTTCGATAAGAATATTTGCTTGTTTCTTATCCATACAACCTTCAAGTATTTCGCTCTTAATGTCTAGTTTGTGATATGTATTTTAACAGTTTAATATTTGAAAAATGATTTCTTAATACGAAAAGTGATGAATGAAATTAGTTTCCGTAAAATTATTAACATCGATATCTTTCTCATAAACAGAATCTTGGTCTAAAGCGATTGATATGCGAAGGTGATATTTCGATAAGATCAGCGATTGATAGGCATGTAAAAAAGAATTTCTTTCGAACTATTAATAGTTAGATTGACATATTGTGTCAGGCGTTAAATTGTGTAAACAGGTGTCGTAATTATCTGATTGAATAATTTTATAGCAACTCGATTATATTCTTAATCAAAACAATGTTGAATCTTTTTAAATAATCATAATCATAGTAACTTAACTAGTCCATGTTTATGTTGTGGTAGTCAAACATATTTTTATAGGAAATATTTAAATAACTGGTGATCAAAAAATGGAAATAGGAAATATTTTAAATATTGTGAAATATATATATATCAATTCAATTACATAATTGAAACTGTTATGAATGAATGAAAACTAATAGAAAATAGTTATTAAAGTAACTGAAAAATCTGGATATGCGTGGCGACGCAGGTGTACATCTGAAATACTTTTATATCTTCATCTCACACCCACATCCTTAATAAACCATCTTGAGAGTGTGGATGTCAATATATAAAAAAAATTAATGACCAAGCTCTTATTATCATACACTCGCAATTTGATAGCGTCACTAGTTTGTATTCTATAGAAACATAAATTTTATTGAAAGCTTTTATTGGAAATATTGTGTTGTGTAGATTGACAAAAAATACATAGAAATCTAAGAAGGAACCTACAAAGATGGTGTATACAAGTTGAATGATAAATTAGATTATTAATCATATTTTTAATGAACTTTTAAAAAGTGACAAAAAAAATTATTTATCGAAAGTCATTTTATCATCAAAACCCTTCAGTCACGATCAATAATAAATTTTTGTATTCGATTGTTGCCTGTATCGACAACATAAAGATTACCCTGTCGGTCAAATGATATATCTTGTGGGTCACGGAGTTGCGTGGGTTCCGATCCAGATTGTTCTTCACCAGCAACAGGATTACCTTCTATTGCATCTGGCGACCAACGCATTATTTGATGATTACCCCAATTCGATACATAAATATTACCTGTATGATCAACAATCACACCTACGGGTTGAGACATTGAACTGGGATTTTGATTAGAAACTTGTACTGGAGCAATACGAAAGCCTTCGGTAGCATTTTTTATCCATTTCATCACACGATTATTCTGAGAATCCGCTACGTAAATTGAATAATACTTATCGACGAAAATAAAACTAGGTCCATAGAGTTGATCCAACTGACCTCCTGGCCTCTTTTCACCTGCTACAACTGTACCAACTGTATCTCCTTCTTGAAAACGTCTGACTTCACTGTTTGTCGAGTCAGAAATATAAATATCTCCATTATTATCCATTGCTAAACCCCGACAAACGATATTAGATATCAATATTTGTTGATCTTGAGTACTTTGGCGAGACAATCGAATTACTCGGTAGTTGTTCGCTTCACAAATGATGAGATATTTTTTCTCTTTATCAAGAACTACATCTCTTGGAACATTCAGTTGACCTATTCCGTCTCCACATCCATTTTCACCTGCAACAATTTCACCAACCTTTGCACCAAATTCCCATCTGACAATACGATGGTTCAGAGCGTCAGCAATATAAATACTTTCATCATCGTTATCAATATAAATACCAAGAGGTTGACTTAATTGGTTTAATGCATCTCCCCATCCATTTCCTCCAGCAACAGTAGATGCATTCTGGTGCCATTTTGTATTGCTATCAATGATAACAGAAGGAAGTATTTGTTCTATAAAACATTTAAAAAAATTGTAATTTCTTTTCTTTTTTTCATCTAAAAATTATTTCTTAAAAATAAAACATATTTTGTTTTATTCAACATTTTATTTCTGTCTCACTACATATAAATTACGAGAATATGGATGTGGGTGTAAATGGATGAACTGTAAATCCGATGTTATCTTCTCATTCATCTTTCAGTGAACCTTTTGATATTATTCTACAATGATATAATTGATGACTACTAATTATCGAATATAAAACTATTTTATGTCATTATTCGAATAAAAATATTTAAGACTGAATAAGAAAAATTAATTTTACGAATAATTCCTCTTTTATGTATTCTTTAATAAGAAACAAATTAGTTTTAACAAAATCATACCACTCTCGATTGTTGTTGTTAATATTGTTGATATCTCTGATAATGTTGTTATTTCTGTCGTATCGCTTGTTATCTCTATTGTTACTGTTTTTTCTCTTTTAGTTTTATTCAACAAAACAGTAGTTGTTGAAATAACTATAATTGCAACAATTAGAACAATCAAAAATATTATCCACATTAATTTTCTCTTTCGAAAATGTTCACATCTAAGATAACAAATTCTTCTGATCATTTATTTCAATTCATAATATTTACATACAATCTACGGAATCGTGATGTATTAGAATTAACTTCAACAAACTAAAATATTCAAAAAGAAAACAAGATTATTTTTTTATCTATTTAATACATTACTTCTTCAACTCCAACTCTGTTATTCATGTTCATACTTGTTCTTTTCACTAAACTTCAATATTTTTACAATGTTAAAATAAAGTTTTGATTTATTTTTATGCTAGTTAAAATAATATATATATTTCTCTACTTGTTATCTCAATTAAATAGAAACTACCGTGCATGACTTAAATAATTAGTTGAGCATATCATGATATTTGCAACAACAAAAACAAATCCTGTATCAATAGAAATATTAATCATATTTCCTCTTTTTTCAAAGTTAGTTTTGAATAAAATACAGAAATAAATTATTTATTATGATTATTTAGAAAAATAAAAGAGAGAAAGTGAGAGAAGAATGAAAAAGAATAGAATGAGTTTTTTTGGAAAACTTGTCCAGATGTTCATTTTCATGGCCATCTAACTTCTAAAAAAAAAAGTATATTTAATGATCTCTTCATAATCTTTGATTAAGATAGTGCACATAAGATATGAGAGAGAAATTTATAGTTTTTTTCTCCATATTATTATCTTTCCATTCTTTTGTGTATGGAAGCGATCGATATTCTGAAATAGTTGATATGTCATTTGAAAAGAGGTGTTGGTAAGGGTCTCATTCTGTTCTTCACTTTCACCGACATCCCCACACTCAAGACAAAGAACGTAACTGCATATTGGAATGTACTATATAAATCCAATACTTACAATTTACTCTTACTAGTCACTATATTTTTAAAAAGAATTGAACTAAAGATATTTATATCGTATAAATTATACTCTAGATAATATTGATTTTTAAATGATTCACACATAATCGCAATCGAATCAATCTGTCAAAATTGAGTGAAAATCAACTTTTAATATTCTGCAAAAAAATTTATTTTAGATAGAAAATGATTTTCATAGTTTAATATTTCCCGCTTCTTTCAGTTTTTTTTCTACAAAAAAAATCAGCCATTATCAAGAATACGACAACTGAGTTTCTTGTAAATATATGATCAAAATATTTTCTGTTATGTAGAATAATATTGTGTATATAGCAGTATTTATATTATATTGTCTAATGTTTGTATACAATCTTCTAACGTTAATCGAATTTTTTCTCGATTTTTTATCATACTAAACTTTCTCCAAGCTGTCAATTTTCCCTCTTGAAGATAGTGTGAAATTTCGTTGACATCTTTAATATCACTAATCAATCGAAAATAGTCAATAAGTCGTGCATGTGGTACCATAGTTATTTGTCCTTGAAATTCTTGTAAAAATAAAAATGACCAATCTTGTTCAAGAACAGCAGGCAATAAATCAAACATTGCTAATATTCGTAAATATTTTTTCATATCTTCTTTCAAAAGTAATTCCATAGTTGCTAATAAAAATCCTCCACGATATGCTCCTCCACGTAAACGCCAACCTGACGGTAGACCACCTTGTCCACGAGCATGAAAAAAGAATGGTATAATATGTGGATTTGTTTGACTTACTAAAAAATAACTACAACCAAATACTTCTGATAAAGTATTTAGTGGTATATCATTTTCAAAACTTCCATCTCGATATTGTAATCGTTCATTATGTAAAGGACGATAGGTTATTTGACCATGCTTATCAATTATTTTCTCAATTAAATGAACCGGATGAATTAAACCAGGTACAGCTGCTGAAGCTAATACAGCTGAAGCAATTGTGACATGTGGAGTTGATAGATAATTAAGACAAAGTGGTGGAGAATGTTTTCGTGCATTTGTTGCAGTAATATTTAATATCCGACCCGTTTTTTCATATGCTTCTTTAAAAGTCAAACCAATCTGTCCTGTTTCAACATCTGCTCCACCAAACCATTGTAATTTATCTAACCAAACATCTCGACTAAACATAGCACGATATTTAAAATAACGTTTAATTCGTTCTATCCAAGAAACATCAAAACAATTTAAACGTAATAGTAATGCTTCAGGTTTTAACACTGATCGTAATTCTTCATCTGATCTTGTACAAACAACAGCCGCTACAACAGCTCCACTACTTGTACCACTTATTATTTTTGGTAAATAACCAGAAGATAAAAGTGCTTGTACAACACCCCAATGATAATGACCCATTCCAGCACCACCAGATAAACATAATGCTGTTACACCATAATGAGATTTCATTGCTTTTAATGCTTGCAATATAAATTCAGTGGATAGAATTTCTCTCGAAAAATTATTATCATTAATTATTTGATTAGAGAATTCATTTTCTAGTTCAGAATAATTAATATCGAGTAATTCCGATGTTACATTCGATAAATATGAAAGATTATCAATGGGTGATGATGAAAGATTTTTGCTTTTAAGTAATTGCCCTTGTTCTGTTAAATATTTTAAACTAGTAACAATTTCTTCGATATATTCTTCTACAACATATTTTGTTCCAACTAAAGTTTTTGAATATAAATGTTCATTTAAAATTCCATTCATACTTTTATTAATACACATATGTAATAATTTAATAATTTTTTCGACATCATTTGTTTTCCGAGAAATTTTTAAATCATTAGTCAATACTCGAATTAAATTATCATTATAATATTTTGATTCAGAATTTCCTTTCCATATTTCTCTTCCATGTAATTTATCAGTTTCAAATGCATATTGATACCATTCGTCATAATTTTCAGCATTATTTAATACAGCTGGTCGAATAAATATTGATTCTAATAAACGAATAAAATATCGTAATAATATATAAGAAAATAATTCAATAACAACAATTAAAATAAAAAAGAAACATATCGGTCCTTTTAATACTCGACGAGTTCCTAATAGAAAACAAAAGAATGTTGTAAGTACAATCAATAAATAGATTGAATGTGTTGCTGTAATTGTATAATCAAACCATTGAAATATCATTTGAGGTAATATCATAAATAATTTCTTTTCATAAATAATATAACATAATATACTAATGATGAATACACCAATAAACATCGTTTGAAATGATCTACGAATAATTTAAATATGATTAGAATTTTATTTTTCTAATAAATCAAACAGATACGAGTAATATAAAAAATAGTCACCCAAATCTTACTTATGGGGAAAAGTGGGGAGCTTTTTACCTATTAAAGAATATCTCACTTTGTTCTCATCACAATCGCCAATCATACCTTTGACAAAAATCGTTAGTATAAATTTCAACTTGCTTTTAAATACGCATAAAAAGAAGAGTCGTTTTTTACTTTCTGTTCTACATCGAAAAGATAACTACGACGGTGCTTAATTCACGTGTTATCAGTGTGTGGGTAGCGCTTTCACATTTTTTGGGTGTGTTTATCATATTTGAGAAAAAGAAAAGAATAACAAATAAATAATGTGTGGCTGACTAAAGAACGAATAGTGCAAACATCTATCTACGTTGTTAGATTGATATATATATATATTAAACTCATTCGCATGGTTTCTCATATGAGCGCCTGATATTCAAACTCAATATGTGATTATTTTAGATGTTTTGGCGAAATTATATTTTTTTCCCCTTGCCATAAATCATTGTTTTTCAACATTTTAATAAGACGACAGAATGAATATTCTACTCATAGATGAAACGTTGTTTGATATTGATGGAATATATAACACACAAAAAGGACTGAATTTGAACTATGAACCGATACAAAGCTAGTAATAAAGAAGATATCACCTAGTAGAAACAGAGATTTCTCCAGGAGATGATAGTTTGTTTGGTAGTATACTCCAAAGAGGGTGTGGGTGTGGGTGTGAGTATTTTTTTATCACATACCCACACCCACCCTTCATTTATATTCTGGTTCTTTCTTGCTACTCTTAAACTTTGTTCATGGTTACTTTAACAAAATACTTACATCAATACGAAAGCTCTGTTAATAGTATTTAATTTGAGATAATATTAACAATTTTGGCTTTACGATAACCCTGTACGAGCGGTACGAAGACCCTGCAAAAAACGATACGAAGGCCCTGTAAAATGTATAGGTACACTTTGTCAATACGATACGAAAGCCCTGTATATTTGTGATACGAAAGCCCAGTAAAACTTAAAAAAACACTGGGCTTTCGTAAACGACCGTTCCGGGATGATACTTTCTCCTTCAAATTCCAGAGTCAATACAATCAAAAGAAAAAGTTTCTGCTGATCGTATACTTTCTGAATCTAAGAAATTTCTAAGAAAAGAAATGGATAAAAGAGGTTCAGTTGATCGAGTAATGTTAACAAATTTCTGTCGAAGTCTCACTAATGATCTTTCCATTCTATTAGATGCAGCTGCAATTGCTCAGTTAAATCAAATGCATGAAGTTATCCAAGGTTGGATGCGTGAATACAATTTTGATCCGCAAGATCCATCAGTAAAAGTTCTTCTTGCTGGTCCTCGACCAGCTCGTGAGAATTGTATACAGACTACTTACTTCGAACGTCTTCTTGGTGATGAACGAAAACGAAATATTATTTACATAGAAGAACTATATGGAGAGGAAAAAAGCAAATCGATTTTTGCCAGATGGTTTTTAGATGAAGAACTAAGTGTTAGCTTTTATAATGACAAAGATCGAATGCATCGTGATTTATTGACAAGTGAATATGTGAAGCAGCAGATCAATCAGCTAATTCCTTCATAGAGACTACATTTATTATTGTATTTTATGATTATATAGATATAATAAAAAGTGAAGAAGGGACAAAGACATATATAACCGCAAATCGGCCTGCTTTTTTCATATTAAAACCATTTCAATTCAATTAGAGAACTACTCAATGAATTTTTCTAGTCAATTTCACTCTATACTTTTACTCAGTTTTTATCCTAAAATGAGGATATATTGTGAAGAAAAGTAGATGTGAATATACGTTGATACGGTTGTAAATAATCTCATTAAAAAGAGAACAAATAAGTCTGCATAAATTCATCTATAAACTATCCTGAAAAAGCAACTAGAAAATGAACTTCTGATGGATAAATGCACTATCGTGCAAATGAATAAACTATACTTAATGACACTTGAATATAGACATGGAACTATAATCATGATTATTCTTATGCTTTTATGTTGTAATACTGTGTGTAATCCTGCATGTTTCCTCTATTAATAAAGTACTGTCTGTCTGAACATTTCTTCTTACATTGTTAAGGTTATTTTAAATATTTCTTTGTGAATTGTTTTATTCATCTGCACTATATGGAAAAATTCTGCTATTTAAAAAAATATTAATCAAATTTAATATAATAATCAACATCTCAGCTGATACACACTATCTTCTTTAATGTTTTTCTTTCTTGAAATTTTATTTTTGAGTCTTTAGCAAGCTTCTAGCGAGGAAGTGCACTATCTTCATTTTCTGTAGTTTAGCATCCCTATGAAGTACTCTACAAACTCAAATGAATTATATATTATGAAAAAATAATCCGTAACTAACATTTCTTTCTTTTTGCTGGATGTCATATATTGTTTGAAGTTTGTGATCTTTTTTATCTATTCAGTTTTTTGTTTTCTTTCATCTGAATTCACTATATAAGATATTAGAAAGGATTATTTGACATCTTCCACTTCGGTGGGAATATGTAATAAAATTGGAACGATACAGAGAAGATTAGCATGGTCCCTGCGCAAGGATGACACGCAAAATCGTGAATCGTTTCATATTTTTTTCCCCCGTATATATATATGACACTTTACGCAAGTAAGACATCAGAATGAAGACGACATTAACAGATGATAGATATAATGCACCTTCACGGTGGTGAATGGCGGTGTGATTAATATGAATACTGTAATCTTATTTATGATATCCATCATTCACATCTCTAAGTACGACAGTTGAGAAGGATTTTTGATTTGTCACAAGTGAAATGCTTTCGTTTGAATATATTCTTCAGATTTTATGATCATTTACATTTACTTCTATGAGATTCACTATTATCTATTATTTATATAATTGATCACAAACTGCTCTTCGAGTAAACATAATAAGATAATTAAAATGTAATAAAACGGAAAATGTTTTTATTATATGTAAACACTTCAATTCGTAATAATCGATTATTGGTTTATTCTTGTCCTCAGAAGTGTCCCGAGTTGGTGAGATCAAAACTACAAATTTGACTACGTAATATTCATATCTATAAGACAAAAAGAGTGAAGTTGGCATTTTTATTCAACAATCACTGACAATAATGTCCCCCACGGCCCCGCCCTCGCGATGACCCTGTTTGTCTTTTTATAATAACTTCTTCTTCGTTTTGTTCTTTGCTTTCACCATGATTGTAAATTTCTGCAAGTGTCATTGATTCATTAATATGTTCAATGCCAAATCCTAATTTATCTGACAGAATTTTCGAACTTTCTATATCTAATTTATTGAATTCATAATTTGCAATTAAACGTCCTTTACGTAATAGAGCTGGATCAATAGTTGTTAAATCACAATTAAATGTAGCAAGTATTTGTTGATGCATAGCATCACCTAATAAACCATCAGATCTAAAACAACAACAAAAAAAAGGTAAGACTAAATAAATTAAAAATTTTTATTTACAAATTAAGTAGATTAGCAACAGCTTGTGATGGTGTAGTAGATTCATTTCGATCTTTAATAATATTTTCAGCATCTTCAATAATAAGAATTGAATTTTGATATTGCATAAGAAATGGTAGAAATTCTGGTGAAGAAATTTCTTTTGCCATATCAGGTGGGACATAAATCAACATTTTTTCTTCAACTTCATGAATTAAATATCGAATATAATGTGTTTTTCCTATTTAAAAACAAAAAAAAAATATCGAAATTATCAAGCGACTATATTGAATTTACCTGAACCGGGAATACCATGTAAAAGAACAATTCCTTTTTCTTCTTTTTTATTAAAACTTTTTATAATTGTATTATGTATTGAAACAAAATTCTTTCCATAATGAAGTGCAAGATCAGTAATAACTGGTTTTTTGATATTAATAGCACTAAGATAATAACCATATTGATTTTTACAAACCATTTGTAAAGTAGATACTTTACTTGGTTCTACTGTCATAACCATCATTTTCTTAAAAGATTTTGCTAATTCTTGTACATATTTTGCATGCTCAGGTAGATAATAAATATGTAATCGTGATGCTATTAAAAACCCATTAGCAGAATTATCCGGTTTTAATTTATTAGGATTTTGTACCTCACCAATTAAATATATTTCATTCATTTCAATCATTATACCATTACCTAAATCGGATAAAGTTGAATTAAGATCCATTTGATCTGTTTCATAATTATAAGTTCCCATAATATGATCGGTATCTAAATCATGTTTTAATTCATCACGAAGATGATTGAATATTGATGTTGAATGTAATAATCGTGAATTATCAGTACTTAAACAATATAAAACACATGGAATTTTACGATATTTAGTAAGAAATAATCGAACTGATGATACACAACGACGATCATTCGATGAATCATATAAAACAAGTGCTTCCAGTGGCATATCAGGTAAATTGCCTACATATTTAGGATCTGAAGTTTGTTTATTAACGGTTGATTCTTCGTTGCCAAGCATGTTTTTTTGTAGAATTGAGAGTAATGTAGAGAAAAACTCTGTACTTTTATATGATAAAAAGTAGTTTGTATTTCTTTCGAAGTTATGGTGAAATATCAATGCAAAAAGAAAGAAAATATTATCGGTAAGGGTGACTCATGCTTATGGTGAAATTATTATTTTGCATCGTATGTTTGCTATTAATCGAATGAATCATATGCCAAATAGTATGATCATATTTCTGTGTGATAAAATTCAGTCTTGTACTGTCCATTAAATTATTATTATTATCAAAAATCTATTCTTTATGTGTTACTGGTTACTAAATGAAATATCGATAATATTTATAGATTTATGTATCATTTAATTCTATTGGTTAAATTTCTTTAGCAATAGCAAAATTTTCGTAGATGCTGTCGCTTATAACCAATATGCACTTTCTAATAAATTAGTGGATATTACAATTTTTAAAATCATATTCTCGAACTGTTCCCTCTTGAGGGTGTGGGTGTGGGTGTGGGTGTGGGTGAGGGAATCTCTACTCTTAACTCACCCACATTCACACCCACACCCACACCCACACCCACACCCACACCCTCATACTGATGTGGCGTTTTTTTTCTCGCTTTCATTACGATTACTTCATATGAAGCGATGAATAAAGGAGTATGCGGTTATCATGCGATATGTTAGTAAGAAATAATGAGCATTGCAACAGTTTTTTTTATTTATTGTTACACTCTATTTTTTGGATAAAAGACTGTTGGTTCGATTTTGACAATTTTTCAAGAATTTCGTATTATACTAAATAATTCTCTTACGTTTCTTACCGATAGCTGAAAAATGCTACGATGTGTAAAAGATATAGATGATTTTTAAACACAATGAAAGAGTAAACAGAAATTATTGAAAGTATGAAACGTTGGCATTGTTGTGAATCAATTCAGATTATTACTCGTTTTTTCTTCTTCCTTTCTTTTAAAATGTCGTTAAGCATCGATGAGAAGCAACGTTACCATGTTGTCCTATGCCACAATAGAACGAGAAAAGCAAAGAAAATCAAACGCAGCGTACTTATTTTTGTTTCTCCATTCGACTAATACGTAAGTAATTTTTTGTGTACAGTGAGAAAGTGCAATGTACTCATATTTCTTCGCAAACTTGTCGTAGTTGTAAAAATGATATGATCTATTATATGATATAAATTTGTCAATTTTCTAAGCTAATACTGATTTAAAATTCTTTGATAACGATTTTTTCACAGAATCATAAGAGCGATAAGTTAAACTCAGTCTGGATTATTCTTTTTTTTGAACAATTGCACGCTATGTTTCGAATTCCTTCAAATCTTTTTTTCATGCGATAGTGAGGCAACTGAAATCTACCATCCCATATAAAACAAAAGAACTAAAAATTCGATTATTATCCATTAAATAGAACAGTCTCTGATAAAACTTCATAAAGTAATCGATTACTCATGGTTTTGTGTTTAGTTCCGTAAAATCAGGTTATTCAAAAAAATCCAACATAATCGATTACGTATGGTTCTGCGTTTAATTCCGTAAAATCAGGTTATTCAAAAAAATCCAACATAATCGATTGAAAATCAAATCAGCAGATGTAGGTGTGAGTTTTAGTGAAGGCGTGAGCGGTAGATTAATATATCAGCCACATTCACACCGTCACCCTCGTTCTCGATCACTCTAGCAATGTTTCTCATGCGCTTAACTACCGTTTATATTTCTATATGTTCGAAGTGTTGTAAGAATTCTTGTTGATTAATTTTGTAGCTTTGGCTCGTCTACGTTTATTGTCAACGACAGTCAAGTAGAACAATTTGAACGCTCATATTAATTATTTCTAGGAAATATTAAATTCGCCTTCTTCAATGAGCTCTTCCACTCGTTCTGCATATGGATATCAACCATCATTAGGTGTCGGCATTACAGGCTTAGTATTGTTCGTACTTTCTACTATTGTTCATGGGTATCAGGTGTGGACCTCTCGTATGTGGTGGCTCGTTGTGCTGGTTATTGGTGGCATAACGGAAATTATAGGCTATGCTGCACGTATTTATTCATGGCATGACGA